AGAGCAAGAATATATCCATTAGTGGACAACAGATCTTAACACAACAAAGAAGCTGAGTCCCGCTGGACTGTTGAGTGGTGAGCAGCACTGTACAGCAATTATTAGGATGGAGAATATGAGATTATGTCTGCTGAAATACTAGATTTTCGTTCTGCTTATTAATATTTATGTACCATGCAATCGGCCTGATCACATGACTCCCACACGCCACTTCTCACATTTAACTAAATAATAATTCTTGCATTTGATCACATCTTCAAGACATCTCAAAGCGCTTCACAGGATACACTATAAAGTGAATTGACTGTTTATATTGTTGCCAAAATGCGGGAGCCAATTGCACACAGGAGTGTCCCACAAACAGTCATGGTTTGGGAGGCGGCGGGATTATTACCCTGGAAAAGCGATCTGCCAATCAACTAATAACCAGCTTCCTACTTACTGCTCGGTAAACAGAGGTGTGTGGAGTAAAGAAACTTGCCCAACATTTCAACCTGCCGGGAATCAAACCCAAGTCTCTCACTTGCGAGGCGAGTGTTCTAACCACTGAACTACAGGACTCCTATTTTACAGAAAGGTATCTCAAACATTTCACTCTTCCTGTTACCCACCTGATCAATTGAAGCAATTAGTGACTTCAAGATTTTTTTTCTCTGTTTGATTTTCTCCCCTCTCGCTTTGTTGAAGACGTTGTCCTTCAACTAAGGGAGCAGGTTAGTCTGTGGATTAGTCCCATGGGCACTGATCATTGTGCAGCCACTCATTTAAGTGGGCATTATTTACAGTGAGCTAAGGTTTTAATTGTAGGGCGGATATAGGGTGGGGTGAATTCATCCAGAGGGAGTATCAGCCTAGATCCATCTAACCTCCAGTCATACACACTCACACCTTCCATTTGGAATAGTCTCATCCTGACAACGGCTGCTCACTTCAAAGTTAACAGCTCACAATCGAACAACAACAAGATTACATTTGTATAGGGCCTTTCACGTCGGGAGGATGTCCCAAGGCGTCGGACAGTATACGGCATTTCAGACCCAAACTGGGGTCAGGGGGGAGAAGGGAGGGCAGGGGAAGAGGGGTGGCTGATGGCATGGTTGAAGAGGAGGGTTTTGAGGCAGGACTTGAAGGGTGCTAAGGAGGGAAGGAGGGAGCGAGGCGGAGTGATTGGGGGTTGGAATTCCAGAGGTTGGGGGCAGAGTGGTTGAAGGCTCTGTGGGGCGGGTGGGTCGGGGAACGTGGAGCAGGCCAGAGCCGGCTGAGCGGAGGGAGTGGGTGGATTGGTAAGAGGTTAGAAGGTCACAGAGGTAGGGTGGGGCGAGGCCATGGAGGGCTTTGTATGTGAGCACCAGGATCTTGAACTGGATCCTCTGAAAGATAGGGAGCCAATGGAGTCGGGCGAGTATGGGGGAGATGGGGTCGCAGAGTTTGGTGCGGGAGCGGAGATGGGCTGCAGAGCCTGTGGAGGGAGGAGTTGGGAAGGCTGACAAACAAACAAGAGCTGGAAGGGGAAGGGGTGACAATGTCCCTAACTGATTTGCCCTTTTCCTGACCAAGGCACAATGATGTCAATTGCAGGGAAAGTAGTGATCGTTTTGGACACCTCATTGTCAGTTGGGTTGCAATGTTGTAAAGTTCAGAGAATATTGCATGGTTTATTTGTGTATCCAGGATTATACTTTGCTTAACTGTGTGCAAGACCTCTTTTTCACGCAGGTGGCATAAGGATGGAGAACAATAATAATAATAATAATAATAATAATAATAATAATAATAATCCTTGCATTTGATATAGCGCTTTTCACGTCGGGAGGACGTCCCAAAGCGCTTCACAGAACACACTGTAAAGTGAATTGACTGTATATTTGTGGGCGAACGCGGCAGCCAATTGTGCACAGCAATGTCCCACAAACAGTCGTAGATTGAAAATGACCAATTTATTATTGTTTTTTGGTTTTGGAGGGATTATTATTAGGCGTGTGGAGTAAGGAAACTTGCCCAAGGTTTCGCCCTCTGCCTGGAATTGAACTCAGGTCTCTCGCTTGCAAAGCGAGTGCTCTAACCACTGAGCTACAGGACTCCACACGCCTAATAATAATAATAATAACAAGGAGTGGGATGGGATTTGCAAACAAGAAGACATTTCATTTCTACAGATAATGCTGTGGGTTTTTGTTTTTAGCATTGGGACACCATTGTCTTGTCTCCTGAAACAATTGTTTGAATATAGATCAGTACCTGAACTTTTGTACCTTGTTTTCCTGGCAGGAGAAGTTGGATGGAATGCCAGGAGAATATCGGGAGGGAGGGCCCCCAAAAAAATCTCTTTTTGTTTCTTATAGGTACTATTGTGTATTTTATTTCGGCTCATCTTGTGTGTACAGTTGACTTCAGGGACAGTCAATTTTCTTTGCCTGCAGGAAAGTTGAGGTTCTTTTGGACACATCATGGGCAGTTAGGTTATGATATTGTAAAATTCAGAGAACATTGTATAGATATTCTTGTGTATCTTTGATAATACTTTGTTTAACTGTGTCCAAGATGTTTTGTAGGATAATGTGATACACACCAGCAGTGGTTGGATGGAGTGTGAGGAGTGGCAAGGAACGATGGGACAAGGAGATTTTTAAAATTTCTTATAGGTATTGATGATTACATTTATTTTTGTGTGTGGATATACCTTATCTCCAAACACAATTGTCTAAATATTGGTTAATACCTGTGGTTAATACTCTATAAATGGAATCTTGTTGTTGTACCTTGTTTTCCGGGCAGGAGCGATCAGATGGAGAATGAGGAGGAATGGAACAGTGGACCATCAACAATCAACATCAGAAGTGCACTGAAAACAGAGATGTGCTATGTTTCACTGTCATGGTGTTCTGATTTGTATTTTTTATCATGTTGTACCATTGTGTTGTTGGTTTTAGATTAGCTTCCACAGAGTGACCATTTTGGACACTTCATGGACAGTTGCGATGCAACATTGTAAAATTCAGAGAACATTATTTTGATTTTCTTGTATATCTTTGATAATACTTTGTTTAATTATGTGCAAGATGTTTTTGTTTTGCAGGATAATGGGACACAGCAGTAGTGGTTGGATGGAGTGTTAAGAGAGGCCTGGGAGGGAAGTGATTTTTTTTATTAATAGTAGATCATAGCTGTAATCCCCTCACATACATATGTACGCACGCACACAAGCCTGCACACCATGTCACACTCATTCTCCTGCCCCATCTCTTGTTCCCTCTTCTAAACCATCAATTACTCTCCTCTCTGCACATAAAATTCACACTTGTGTAGCAACTTTCACTTTGGAAGGAATCTGATGGTAAAAATAATTAGTCAGTATACAAACCTCAAGGGCTCTAGATGTTTTATTCACTGAAAGAAACATTTGTGGAATACCTTTGCAATATGTAGTGACTTGCTAAAATCATTTACACAGCAGACACATTCAGTCTCTTAACTAGCTCAATCTGTTCTTCAAAGGGAAATATTGGCAGTTAAGAGAGATGACCCAGAGGGAAACCTGTTATATAAATGCAAGCTGTTGTTGTCACATTTAGAATGGATAATGAAATCTATATTTGGAAAGTATCATCATCCATGCTTTTGGGTGCAGTGGTGGTTAGTACTGGATTATCAGAGGTGTCATCTTTTCAATGAGACATAAACCAAGAATCCACCTACTTCTCCAATAAACATAAAATATCCTGCCACACCATGACAAAGGAGAGTATCTCCCATTCTAACAAACAATGCTTATGACATTCGTCATTCAATCCATAGATGTGGTTGGAACATGGCTGTGCAAAAAATCGCTGCCATCAAACTTTCCAATTGAATCCTGCTTCGCACTTGGAAACATATTGATGACTTGAGAAATGACTAACTCAAATAAAATGATACCAATCCACCTGTGTCAGTTGTTCTCAACTCATCTGACATCTACTCACCAAAGTTCCCATCTCATTATGAAGCACAGAAAAGGAAGACTTGAAACAAAAATAGAGAGGGCAGGGAAAACTCAGAAGGTCAGGCAGCATCTATAGAGAAAGGAAAGTGAGTCAACGTTTTGAGTCCACGACCCTTTGTCAGACTATAGACTTTCCTTTCTCTATAAATGCTGCCTGACCTGCTGAGTTTTCCCAGCCCTCTCTGTTTTTGTTGCAGATTCCAGCATCTGCAGTATTTTGTGTTTTGTTAAAGAAAGATTTGATCCTACCTCAGTTCTTGAAACTGAAATGTCTCCAATCACCATTGTTGGATTGACAAGTGGTGATGGTCTGACACTGCAGTTTAAACAAGAATCCTGCTTGCAATCTGGATAAATACCCTAAACTCGGAAAAGTCCCATTCAAACTGTGCTTTCCTTCCTACCATACTTCTTGGCAAAATTGGATCGTGCAGAAATGACAACCCCCAAAAAACAAAACGTCACCAATCGGTTGACCATTGAAAACATTCCCTCATGGGTCACACAACTGGTGAACAAGGCACACATATCTATCCCATCATCTGCTGAGTACATTTCTCTCCACAAGGTGTAATAGCTAGATTCATTTAAAATTAAACAAAGAAAAATGAGTCAGTTTGGGGAAGGTTTGAACACGACCCTCAACTCGCACAACTAGACTTTTCCAAACAAAAAATATACACTTGAAAAAAATGTAGGGCCTTAAGATTTCGGTTCTCATCTCGGCAGTTTCCAGCTAAAAAAAATTCTGAAAACCCATGTCAGAAACTAACAGAGAAGAAGAGAAAAGTAAAGCACTAGATTCCAACTAAAATCTATTACAATTGCCTCAGTCAATGGTCAAAAAACACCAACTCTCAATGATTTGTTCACAGTTAAGACACATCCACTCCAAAATAGAAGTCACAAACTTCTTAGCCTGTACATTTTCATACATCAGAAAACTTGCTTCCTTCCCAGGTGCAACATTTAGCTCGTGTTCCTCGAAGGATACAACAGCAACCAATCCTCTACAGCTCCTAATTAGTTTCAGCATAGAGAATCTCCCACCGGCTGGAGCTAGTCAATGGTCTATTGACCCAGACATGGATGGGAGATAGTTTGCTGTCTGAAGCCAGAACTGAAAGTCATGATGATCATGTGGCGGCTCTGACAGAGGGATCAATGAGGAAGGAAAAATGAGGCAAAGTTTTTCGTAAGACCAGGTCTGATCAAATTGTTATCCTGTTAAATTTAAACACAGGAGATGTTTCATTTCATTGCAGTATTTACTCAGTATGTCAGAAACATGGCAAATTGCACAGAATCCATTAGATTTGCAAATATGATTCCACATTCCCCAACACTCTCCACTCCACTTGACAAGATTGCTTCAATTGAACATCACATCTTGTCTTTAAAAAAGGAACTCGATGCTGCAAAAGAGTGTAATGACAATTAATTTCTAATCTAAAACAGCAAATAAACAAATGGCAGTTGAAGTCACATTCTTTGGGTCCAAGTGAATTGGATACAAGTGATCCAACTTCACTTGACCTAGGTTCCATCCAGCCAACAAAAACTAATAACACCTCTGTGTTTTGTGTTTATATTATATTTATACGCTTAGAATTATTTTTCCTTACTTACCTTGATCTAATCAAGGTATCATGCCTAACGATGATCTAGATACAAATTGGTCATTCTTAATGGATATTTGTTGAACATTGCTGTGTGCAAATTGTCTGATGTTTGCTTGAAGTTACAGTCACTCACTTCATAATAAAATCCTATGAATCAGGTTGAGCTACTGAGATTCCAATACAAGCAAGCAAGCAAGCAAGAGTAAAAGGTTAGTCAAAGGTGGGGTCGGTCCAATTAGGGACCCTTGTGGAAATCTTCTTGTTGAGGCAAAGGGCATGGCTGATGTACTAAATAAGTACTTTGCAAAAGAAGACGATGCAAGCAATGCCACAATATCGCAAGCGTATGAACAGAAATTGGATATGATAAAAATCAACAGAGAGGAGGTACTGAAAAGGCTGTCGGTGCACAACGTAGATAAGTCAGCTGGTCCGGACGGTCCGGACGGGATGCATCCTAGGTTACTGAGGGAAGGAAGGGTGGAAATAGCGGACGCTCTGGCCAATCAGGCCAATCAGCCAAATATCAGTAGTAGGGAAACTTCTGGAGACTATAATATGGGACGATATAAATTCTCACTTAGAAAAATATGGTTTAATAAAGGACAGTCAACATAGATTTGTTAAAGGCAGATCGTGTCTGACAAACCTAATAGAATGTTTGATGAAGTGACTGAGAAGGTGGATGAAGGTAGTGCAGTAGATGTAATTTATCTAGATTTTCAAAAGGCATTTGTCAAAGTGCCACATAAGAGACTTATAAACAAAATAGAAGCCCACGGTATTAAAGGGACTGTGGCAACATGGATTCAGAACTGGCTGGGAGACAGAAAGCAGAGAGTGGTAATAAATGGTTGTTTTTCTGACTGGAGTGAGGTGTGTAGTGCTGTCCCTCAGGATTGGTATTGGGACCACTGCTCTTTCTGATCTATATTAATGATCTGGACCTGGATAAAGGGAGCACAATTTCCAAATTTGCAGACGATACTAAGCTAGGAAAAGTAGTTAATGGTGAGGAGGATAGAACCAGACTCCAAGAGGACTTAGACAGATTGGTAAAATGGGCAGAAATGTGGCAGATGAGGTTTAATGTGGAGAAATGTGAATTGTTCCATTTTGGAAGGAAGAATGAGGCGAGGCATGATAAGCTGATGGTACAATCTTAAAGGGAGCAAATGAACAGAGAGATCTGGGGGTCCACATAACCAAATCTCTGAAGGTGGTTGGACAGGTAGATAAAGCTGTTAAAAAAGCATACGGGATACTAGGTTTTATAAATAGGGGCATAGAATTCAAAAGTCAGGAGGTTATGTTGAATATTTATAAAATGTTGGTTAGGCCTCAGTTGGAGTATTGCGTTCAGTTCTGGGCACCACAGTTTAGGAAAGATGTTAGGGCATTGGAGAGAGTAAAAGGATGATACCAGAAATTAAGGACCTTAGTTATGAGGAGAGGTTAGCGAGAACTAGGATTATTCTCCCTTGAGCAGAGAAGATTAAGAGGGGATTTAATAGAGATTTAATTAAGATCATGAGAGGATTTGATAGGTTCAACCGGGAAAAACTGTTTCCACTGGCAAGTGGGTCAGTAACCCGAGGACACCAATTTAAGTTAGTTGTTAAAAGATACAGAAGGGAGGTTAGAAATTTTTTTTTCACCCAGCGAGTTGTTCGGATCTGGAACGCATTACCTGAAAGGGTAGTGGAAGCCGATTCAATAACAACTTTTAAGAGAGAAGTATATATGTATTTAGGGAGGACAAGATTGCAGGGCTATGGAGAGAAAGCAGGTCAGTGGGATTGAGTTGGATTGCTCTTTTCAGAGCTGGCGCAGACACGATGGGCCGAATGGCCTCTTTCTGTGCTTTATGATTCTATCATTCTATGAAATGTAACTTCCATATTCAAGAAAGGTAACAGAATTGTAGATCCATTCACCTGACCTCAACAAAAGGAAAAATAATGGAGTCAATCATCAGAAAGAAAATGGAAGATTACTTCTAGAAAAATAATCTAATAAATGACAGGCAACTTGAATTCAGAAAAAGCTAGGTCTAATCTGACCAACTTGATTACCTTTTTTTGAGGAGGTTATGAACCAAATTCACAGTTGGCAGACATATGATGTATATCTAGACTTCCAAAAGGTGTTTTGCAGTGTTCTACATGAAAGACTCATTGACAAATTGAAGTCATTGCGTATTAAGAGAAGACATGTACATGGATTCAGAATTGGCTGAAGTGAAGAAAGCAGAGGATCATTGCTAAGTCATTTGATTGTACATTCTCAGAAATCATATTCATAGAGTCAGGCCTCACCTAGATTACGGCATAGAGATGTGGTCACCACAACCTAAAGGGGTTGGCCCAAGCCCTCGAATCACTGCAGAAAAATGTACAGATGTTGAATCAAAATATTAGAGGAACAGCCTATGAACAATGATTAGATAAGCCATGGATCTTCAGTCCTGAGAGAGACATCTCAGAGGGGATCATATAGAGGTGTATACAATTTGCATTGGAAAGATGAGCTCAAATAGGCCAAAGGGTCTTCTTCATCCAAACTAATCTTGTGATCTATCCTAATCTCATGTTGGAAAGTTTCCCACAGTTCAAACACTGTCTAAGCTGCCTAATTTTTCTGCTTTGTTTATCTGGGCTTAATTTTTTTTATCTCATGGAAGTTTGCTTTATTCTAGTCAATAACCTTTTCAATGACTCTCCTTTTCAATGTTTATACCATATCTAATTATTTTGTGGTCCCTCTTTGCTCAATGCTTCATGGTTCTTAGAATATAAGGTGCCCCACTTCATAACCAAGAACAAATCAGTTCACCCTGTTCCTTGTTGGCCTTGAAATATACTGATCTCGAAAACAGTGGTAGACTCATTGCAGAACTATATCTTCCTTCTGGCCATTTACTTTAATCCCAAGTACCCTTTATTATGGCTCTCTCACAAAGGAGACGTATCTTTCTTCTCTATCTCTATCTTATTCTCTATGGGAACTAACTGTTCCCATTCTAGGTGTCAATCTGGTTCAGTTAGTAGCTCTCTTGCCACTGAAACAGAAAGTTGGGATTTGAACTCCAATAAAGTACATTGTCAGAGGTGCCATTCGTTGGATGAGACGTTAAACAGATGACGTGTCTGCTTGGTCAGGTAAAGGATAATATCACATGGCATTATTCAGAAAGACAAACAGTTTCTCTTAATGTCCTGACTGACAATCCACCAAATAAAATCGAGTCGTTCATGTCATGGCAGTTTTGTAGGACATTGCTGTGCACAAATTGGCTGGCGTCTGACAATAAAATATACAATCATTACACTCTACAGTACATCACGTAAAGTGCTTTTCGATGTCCACCTGTTGGGAAAGCAGTTATATGAAATGATGTAAGGATTATTATAATGTACTTAGTGGAAGTTTTCCTTGTCAGGAAATTGCAGCCCACTTGCTTAGGGTCAAAATTGGGATCTGGTACGATGCCTTTTGAAATAGAGGATGACATTTTCTTTCTTGCAGAGCTGGTGGTAATAGCATTTTCCGCACAGTTACCATACACAGTTATCGCACACAGTTACTACACACATTTAGCACACACAGACCCAAAAAACTCGTGATAATGAATTGGGCTGGAATTCAGTGTAACCGGGCTGAACAGAATTTTCTTGTTTCAGACTTTCTGGACAAGTTGTTTGGTCAACCCATGAGTGACAATAACAGTCAGGTCAAGGTTAATGGTTTTCCCTTTTATTTCTAGATGTGCTTTTCAAATATTCTGTACTGAATGAAACACTCAGTTCTTGCATTGTGTTTAAAAGCTAGAGAATAGTTAACATGTTCCCATGTTAAGGTTATGAGCAAATGGGAAATGATCACATGAGTTTAATTCAATTGAAAAGACTTGGTGATTTGGGGTGTCCAGATCCCAGACTTTTTCTTTGATCATACTGATTAGAATCAAACTTCCCCATTGTGTTAATTTTGAGTGCGATCAATAAGTTTGGGAATCAATGTGAGAGTTTACGTGAGCACTGCAGTTTACGTTATCTGGTGGATTCTCTTCTAGCCTCATCGAGTTGCAGTGATTGCTCCACTTGGGCTGTTCATGACTGATTGACCAGCAGTGATGATATCATTATTGACTGCACCAATGGTGCCCGATTTCTGTCCTTACAAAGAGCTGCAGATCTGTACATGTACACACACGTGTTCCGGTTTCAACCCTGAAACCTCATTTCAATAGGAAAGACAGAGGTAGGAATTGGAGTGAGAATTCCTTTTAAATGTCTGAATTTAGTATGACTTTAATGTTACTGTTTTCATTTCAGATCCAGGAAAGGATCTTCACTCTGCAGACATGATGCTGGGATGCTGGGTTTTGCTGTTCGGTGCTTTGCTCTCCTGTGGTGTTTCAGGTACTTTTTACTGTACAGACAGCAACAAGACATTGCTCTGCTCTCTAATCCTGGCAGAAATATGGATCAGGTGGAATGTTGAAGGACCGAGAGAGAGGAAAATGTCATGCTTTGAAAATTCCTACCCTTCACATACTGGGGTATACAGTGCAGCGAAAGGGGAGAAAATTCTCAATTGAACTTGTAAGATACCATTCGTGGACCATACAGTTAAGATTTTCAGATCTTCTGGCAGATTAAAATATAAATCATTGTATTGTGCAGTGTAATTTTGTTTGCTTAATGTGTGTTCTCACATTCTCCCCTGTGTTGTGCGTCCACCTACCCCACACCTTGTATGCATGTGCAGGCACACACACAAACAGTTTGGTAGCTGCTGAGCAGGAATTGGATTGACGCGTGAGTTCTCATGAAATATCTTTTTTGAATACATTCGGAATAATCCTCTGATTCTTGGCAAAATTACTGGTCTTGATGGTTTTAGTAAAGGAGTCAGATTCACTTCTCAAGATCAGTAAATTTACGACAACAATAACAACAACTTAATAGCATTTATATAATGCTCTTGATGGAGGTTAATGTCTTGGTGTGCTTTACAAGGATGTGGTGGTCACGCCAAGCGAGGGAGAGAGGGAAGGGGGAGGTGGGCACAGACAAAGAGGTTGGACATAAGTTTAGCGAGGGTGAGATCGATCGTCACCATCGAGCTTTCACCTCGAGTTAAAGGACAAGCACACCACCCAAGTACGTCACGTAAATGCATCTTGATAGACATGGATTGTGCCATTTAATGCTTTTGTTTGTGTAGCAGATGTTTTATTTAAATGTCTCAGTGAATCTTGCAGTGCATTCTGGCCAGTAAATATCAGAGAATCCATCTCTGAGGAGACTTCCTGAGGTGAAGCCAAATGAAAAGAGACTCGTTAGAAAATCATAGCTTCGTAGAAGTAAAAAGATAAAAATAGCAGCTGCTTGCCTGCTGCTGTAATCTGGCCCACCGATCGGCTCAGATGCGTCTCAGTGCTGTAATGTTCAACTCCCAGGGAAGCTATGCGCAGGTCCCACCCTGCAGCTCTGCTCACCCATGCTACCCAAGCACTCTGGCCAGCAAACCAAGATAGTCTTTAGCCTGTAAGCAATATCCACTCTGGCCAAAGGTGTATGCTCACAAGTTTGTTTTGATCAGGATGGTAAAATCAGGCAGAGACTTGAGATTTTATAATCAAGCAATATTTATTTAATTAACTTGCATTAGCAAGTTATATATAGTAGTTAAAGATTAGCCACGGATGCACACTCCAAGGCAGTCAGGAAACTAGGCGTCTTGTTCAACCCTCAACAGTCCTTTCTTCCCCACATCCATGCCATGACCTACTCTGCCTTCCCCCACCTCCGCAACATTGCCCGACTCCGCCACTGCCGCCCCTCAGGCTGCCAAATCCCTCATACATGCCTTCCATACATTTAGGCTCAACTTTGCCAAACCCCTGCTTGTCGGCCTACCTTTTCCCCCCTAAGCTGCAGATCATCGAGAACTCTGCAGCTTGTGCACTTTCCCGCATCAGGCTCCCTGACTCCATCACACCGACCCTCACCTGGCTCCAGTGGCTCCCCATTCCTCAGAGGATTAAGTTCAAAATTTTTGTCTTCAAGGCCCTCCGTAGCCTTGCCCCCTCCTACCTCTCCGACCTGCTAACCCCTTATCAACCTGTCCACTCCCTCCTCTCAGCAGGCTCCGGCCTGCTCCATGTCCCCCGTCCAGCCTGCCCCACCATCGGCGGTCAGGCCTTCACCCTTTGGAAATTCATCCCCCATTCTCTTTGATTCACTCCCTCTCTTACCTCCTTCAAGCCTCCCCATTCGCACAGGTCCTAAACCCTGACAGTTTAGGGCTGTGGGACGTCCTCCGATGTGAAAGGCACTATACAAATGTAATTTTGTATTGTATTTGTATTATGCTTATAACTGCAATGTGTAATTCAGAACCGGCAGGTAATCCAATCCTTATATATATATACCTCTATCTGTCCAGCACACCAAATTGATCATGTCAACCTCAGTCTCTTCAACATGTCTCGGCAACATGTTCAAATGATTCGAACATGTTGCTAGCAAGGGTGGTGGAGCCAGGCCACTGGACTCATTTGAAAAGCAGCTTGATGTTGTGATGGAAGGAATAATAGGGTGGGTGTTCTAGAGGGATGAGATTGAATGCGCTAAAGGGCCTTTTTCATCCAGACCCACCTTGTGATCTGGGTTATGTAAAATTAGCCATTTCTTTTGAATTTCTTGTGTGTTCTCTGGCTTATGGGCAGAGAGGTGTAACATTGTTATTGCTTAGTTTTGTAATAATTTACAAATTATTCTGTTGATTGACATTGAAAACCATTTTATAAAGATGGGTATTCCATAATTTTCAACTAGGATAAGTCTTTGCAGAGCATTTCACGAAGACAATGTTGGAAGAAATAGGAGGATAGATATGTTGATCAAAAGAACGAACAAAGAGGTAGGATTTTAGGAGGCGTTTGAAAATGCGGAGCGAGGATATAAGGCAAGGAGATTTTGGAAGCAATTTCAAAAATATCAAGGACATAGTAGGTGAATGTTTGAGAATGATTGATAGAATGGAAGGGTCAAAGAACAAGCTCTGGGCCTGAGTTGGAGATGTGGAAGGTGTGAGCAAGAGAATGGGGATGGAGGAGGATGCAGGCTTAGGGTTGAGAAAGAGATGGATATTTTGCAATGCCGAAATAAATAGTGCCTCTGGCAACTTTACATGCATGGGTGCAACTTCACGCATCTGTACAACTAGATTACGTTTACTGGTAATCTCGCAGTTCAATGCAGCCAAGTGGACATGCAGGATGTTATAGTGCAGATAACCAGTACTGTAATACTGTCAACCTCCTCAGTTTTACCTTTCTTTCCTTCCTAAAAATGTTATTTCCAGGAACATTTCTTTTCATAGTTACACCACAACAATACACTTTCCTGTAAATTTTATGAAGCGCTGTGGGCATCCTCAAATTTTCAGTGGCGTTATATCAAATGCAAGGATTATTATTCATGATATTATTATGTACACCTATAGACAGAATGCAGAAACTTTGGTATTGGCTGAAATTTCTCTCAAATACAAAGATTAACATCTTGTCAGCGCCTTGAGACATCTTCCTGACCTGAATGGTGCAACATAAATGCAATCTGTTGATACTGTATATGAGGAAATGATAAGATATTTGTGACTTAGGTTTGTGATTATTTCAGCCTCTTTGTCTCATTCTTATTTGAATTGCAGCTTTCAATGAACAGGAACCATGGATTCAACATTCCCATCAAGTTCACTGTGACTCAGGATGGACTTTATTTCCAATGTTAAAGACTTGTTATAAATTCTTCACAAAAGCAACATCCTGGGAGGAAGCTGAGGCAAGACATGTGATACACTGACTTTTTTGTTATTAATATAATTCATCGCTAAACAGAGGGCATAAAATTATTAGCATTAATAATAATAATCCTTGCATTTGATATTTTTCCTTTTATGTCTTTGAGAAGTCTCAAAGTGCTTTACAGATTTTTTGTGGGCGCAACACAGCAGCCAATTGTGCATAGCAATATCCCACAAACAACTATGGACGAGTGACCAATTTTATTTAGGGGATTGTTGGCCAGGACACCAGAAGAAACTCCCTCTCTTTTCGAATAGTGCCATGGGATCTTTAATATCCACCTAAAAAGTAGGCAGGACCTTGGATTAACATTTTAGGACGACACTTACGACAATGAAACTCACCCCCAGCATGTCACTGGAGTGTCATCTTAGATAATGTGATTCCAAGTTCCAATGTGGAGCTTGAACCCACAAACCTGACTCAGAGGAGTGCTACCAATACACCAGGATGACACGACTGACATAAAATGATAAAATCAGCTAGGGTTGTTCTGCCTAAAATACCTGTATCTCAGAAGGAATTATATTGATGGTAAATCGAATTAAGAAAGCAAACCCAGATACACCAAGGTAGGATGGTGTAAGTTCAGGGATGTGAAGGGCAATTTTTGGGCAAAAACAAGAAGTATTTGTACAAGCAAAGATGATAAACATCTTTTCTCTGTAAATACTGTGAAGCACTATGGGACATCCTCAAAGTTTCAGAGGTGCTATATCAAATGCAAGGATGATTATTGTGATATTATTACATACACCTACTGTCACAGTGATTGGCAACTGAAAGGTTCAGCAGGAGATTTGATTAGTTTTTACAACACATTCTTCTGCTTGCTCGCCAGTCATGCTCACCACACTGGTTAGAAGTATAATACTTTACACAGTATAATACTGTATACATTTACATTTATATCCTGCACTAAGCTGCATGAGCCGATCACCCCCATCCTCACCCAGCTTCACTGGCTTCCCATCTCTTAAAGGATCGAGTTTAAAATTCTTGTCCTCACTTTTGAAGCCCTTTTAAAGCATCTTGCTCCTCCCTACTTCTGTAACCTGTGAAATCCACCTAACATGTCAACTCCCTCCGATCGGCAAGCACTTTGCCTTTGTGTGAATTACCTGAAGACTGCAGAATGGAGGGGCATTAATTATGTTGCAGATACCAACAGGTATCTAATGGGTGGGAAAAAAAGAGTAAATCTTTGAAAATATTTCCTTTTATTTAAAGGCTATCTGTGAAAAATCAGGACTAAATCATCACCTTGCCTCCATCCACTTTGGTCATCAAAATGATATCATTCAAAAATTTGTGAAGAAACATTCTAAAAGAAACCGTTCCACGTGGATTGGATTGCATCAATTTCTGCAGGTAAGTCTGACTGAATTCCTGAATCTATAAAACAGTATGTTGCCAATCCCCCCAAAAACAAGTGATGAAGTCAATTCAGCCCCAAACAGTTGTTTACAATGAGACACAAAGATGTCACATGTTCTGTCCTTGCGATGATTATTGCAGTAAAAGTTAACACTCAGCATGAATGCCAAGTGTCAAATTGGCTTATTTGGTAGTACTCTTGCCTCTGAATTAGAAGGTTATGGGTTTCCACCTAGGGCCTTCCAACTCACTAACAGTCCAGTGCAATGCCAGGAGATACTGCACTGTCAAGAGTGCTGCTCTTCGGATAAGATGTTAAACTGAGTTTCTGCTTGTTCAGGTAAACATGAAAGCATGGCACTACTCAAAAAGAGAAGGAAGTTTCTCCCTGTGTCCTGGCAAATACTCCTCCAGATAAAAAGTTATCATTCACTTCAAGGCTAATCGCAGTCCGCAAATTGGCTGCAAAATTTGCCTACAAATACACAGTCACAACAACAACAACAACAACTTGCATTGATACAGCGTCCTTCACGTGGGGTGGTGTCTTGGAGCACTTAACAGTGGTGGAGCCTGATGTGGAGTGGAGGGGAGTGGGGGAGGAGGTGATCATAATCACAGTTGAAGAGGAAGGTTTTCAGATGTGATCTAAAAAAGAGGAAGGAGGGGCCAAGGTGGAAGGATTGAGGAAGAGAGTTCCAGAGTTTTGGGCCCAGAATATCCAAGGTCTGAGATGAGAGGCACTATATACTATACACTACAAGTTATTGTTGTAGTGGCTGAAAGCTCAGTGGCCACTGGTGGAAGGAGGGGACGAGTGACAAGCAGGTGGCCAGGGCCAGCAGAGCGGAGATGGGGGGATGTTGGAGTGTGAATCTTTGTGAAGTATTTGAGATATCTTGATGGTGTGATATCAAATGCAAGGATTATAATTAAAGTTCTCACACCAAAGATATTACAAAACATCACATTTACCTCCATTATATTTACACCTTATTCTGTGTTTTAACAGAAATAAACGCACAATATTAAGGTTTCTGATCATTCTGATCACATCACTGTTTCAGTTGTGGACTTGACAGACCTGAATTTGATGGCTTTGTTCAAGAGTTGTCAGGGAAAGACATTAAGTGGCAAATTCACTTTTCTCTGTCAGACACTGGCCAAAAATATACAGTACATATACAGTACAAAAAAAGGACATTTGGTCCACTGAGTCTGCATCCACCAGCTGTCAGAGCGAGATATTCATTCAATTTCACAGGCCTGCCTTTCCCCATATCCCTTCAATCCTTTATCTATCACGGAGGAGTGATGATGGCCGGGTTATGTCCTTGGTCCCCTCCCCTTCAATATCTACATGCTCCCTCTTGGTGACATCATCCACAGATATGGGGTTAACTTCCACATGTATGCGGATGACACCCAACTCTACGTCTCTGCTTCCACCCTTGACTCCAGGACCACTGCTGTCCTGACAGAATGTCTGTCAGACATCAAGTCCTGGATGAGAGCTAATTTTCTTCAGTTGAACATCAACAAGACTGAAGCTCTCCTAATTGGCTCTTGTCAGTGCCTCCACACCTCAGGCGCTGACAGCATCACCATCCATGATTGCACCCTCCACCTTACTAAACCAGTCTGAAACTTTGGCATCTTATTTGACCCTCAACTATCCTTTCTACTCCACATTTGTGCTCTGCCTTCCCCCACCTCCACAACATCACCCAGCTCCACCTCTGTCTCACTCTGCAGACCGCTGAAGCCCTCAAACACACTTCCATTACATCGAGGCTTGACGATGCAAACTCCTTGCTGGTCAGCCTCCCCTACTCCTCCCTCCATAGGCTGCAGATCACCCAGAACTCTGCAGCCAGTGTCCTCTCCCGCACCAGATTCCATTACACTATTACCTCTATATTTGCCCGACTGCACTGGCTTCCCATCACACAGAGGATGCATTTCAAGATTCTGGTCCTCACCTAACCGCCTACCAACCTGTCCGCTCCATCCACTCAGTGGGCTCCGGCCCACTTCATGTCCCACTCCTTGCATGCCCTACCATTGGCGGGCGGGCATTCAGCCTCTCTGCCCCCACCCTCTGGAACTCCAACCCTCGGTGTCTCTGCTTTGCCCCCTCCCTTGCCTACTTCAAGACCCATTTGAAGGCCCTACTCTTCAACCATGCCTTCGTCCACCCTCCCTGCCCTCCACCCCTCCTGATCCCAATTACCAGCAACTCTTGTTTGCGACAATCAAACCTGGATTTGATTCCTGGCAGTGCGAAACATTAGGCAAGTTTTCTTACTCTACACACTTCTGTTTACCTAGCAGTAAGTTGGAACCTGGTCATTAGCCGATTGGCAGATCATTTTTCTGGAGGGCTATGATTCCTTCAATATAAATAAAAATAATTTAGTCACTCAATCCACGACTGTTTGTGGGGCACTGCTGTGCGCAATCGGCTGCTGCGTTTTGCCCACAAAATGTGTAGTCATTTCACTTTACAGTGTACTGTATGAAGTGCTTTGAGACATCTTGAAGATGTAAGATAAAAAGCATGTATATTATTATTAACTCAGAGAGAACCTTATAGAGGTATACAGAATTTTAATCCAATTGAGAAAGTCAACAACAGTTTCTTATCACAACAACACTTTCAGATTTGCCAAGCCCCAGAACAAGCCATAGGTTCAGAGTTGCAAAGGGCAATTTCAGGACAGACACCAGGAAGTATTTCTTTATCCGGAAGGTAATTTATGACTGGATATGGTTTCCAGGAAGAATGGTTGAGGCCAAAATGCTGGACTCATTTGCATAGCAGCTTAATGCCGTGATGGGAGGATGCTCTGGTGGGTATTCCGGGAGGATGAGATCAACTGCGCCAAAGGGCCTTCTTCATCCAAACTCTTCTTGTAAATTGTTGTTTAATACAAAAGTTCACTGTTAAAGTACTTTATTCTGCACACAGAATCAAGTCTTTTCCTGGACTGATGGATCGATATTTGGATTTTCAAAATGGCGCACGATGCCAGGTTACAATTTAAAAGTGAATGTTCGCTGTGTGCAAATGGACAAAAGTAGGTTGAAAACTGTTTTCCTGTGAATTAACAATAGTTGCATGGATAGATTGAGACATTCACTGAGACTGTGGGATAAAATTTGGGAGTTGATAAAGGGTTGATTTGATAATATATCACAATGCAGCACCCCCCTTGGGATTGAGAAACATGTATCTATGGGCAGAGAGAGCACCAGATTACAGCTAGAAAATAAAAATATTGAACAATAAAGATAATATAAAGGTACTTTCCAGCTCTCCCATTTGAAGTGAAAGATATGTTGCTTCAAATACAAAATGAAACACAGTGATTGAACTGAAACAAAATAGAACAAATCTCTCTTCTGGAAGAGTGACCTGCCCTTTGCAGCCATGACTATAAAACCATGACTGCAAAACACTAAAAGATCACAAACTCCCATGCTTGTGACAATTTGAGCATGAAAACATTTGGTACCAAGGAACTTTCCTGACCGATGTAATGAGTAACATATCTTCACACAAAATGTGCACAGTCAACATCCTCTTAGCATAACCGGGATGTTCTCCACCAGTTTATTTATCATTGAATCAGAGAGCTGATTGTGCGACTATTTTCAATTTGAGATATAAAGGGAAAATGCCTTGAGTCAATGCTTAACTGTAAGTCGGGAGCGGAGGTAGGAGAGCGGGGGGCGGAGCCGAGGCCTAGCCGTGTACAAAAGCACAGCCAGGAGAGGAGCCACTCAGTCGGGAGCAGAGAAAGTGACGTCGGCGTGACGTCACAGTTAATAAAAAAATAAACAAGGAAAAAACCCAGCAATAACAACAGTAACAACAATGTCCTGGCCCCAGGCACTGCCATCCCGGTTATGACCCGGGAGGCTAAGCCTGAGGGCTGATGCCGTCCCATTGATCTCTCGCTCCTGGTCTCTGTGTGCGCATTTTGGCTGCCACACCGACCCAAACCTCCTCCTAAATGTCTCTCCTCCTACCCCCCTCTACGTCTCTCCTCCCACCCCCCTCTATGTCTCTCCTCCAACCCCCCTCTATGTCTCTCCTCCCACCCCCCCCAATCCGCTACTCCCCCTCTGTCCTTCTCTCTTACCACCCTCCCCGCCTTCTCTCTCTCCTCAACCCCATCACCACTTCCCTCTGCTCCAGCCTGTGCATCCTCCGCTGGGCTCATCATGGCTCCCGGCACTGGCTGTCCCAGAGCAAGAACCCCTAGTGTCCAATTATTCACTCCCTCTGCTCAAACCGCCTCCTTAAGGCAAATCCAACTTCCCCCTCCCTCACATGTACCCTCCCCAATTCTCCACTCTCCACAACCATCTCTCCTATACACCCCAAAATCCTCTACACATCACTCTCTCCGCCCTCCTCCCACCTCCAGCAAACCCACCTGCATTTCCCTTCAAAATGTACGTTCCCTCTCAAATAAAGCCTTAACCATCCTGGACGAGCACCTTGACATTGAGCACCTTGAGAGTCAGGCTCACCGAAACCTGACTCTTCCCCCAATGATCCTGTACCCCTAGTGGAAGCCTCCCCTCCAGGCTACACCTTCTACCACACCCCCCGTCCAAACCAACATGGCGGCAGGGTGGCCCTCATCTCCAAAGCCTCCCTTGGCCTCACCCCCTACTCCTTAGGCTGCTTCCCCTCTTTCGAGCATCTCACCCTTTTCCACCCCTCTCTCCCTTTGAAAATCCTCCTTGTTTACCATCCCCCTAAACCCCCCCCCCCCGGCTCCTTCCACACAGACATCTCCACTCTCCTCTCTTCCCTGTCCCTCTGCTCTGAGCGCCTACTCATAATGGGCGATTTTAACCTCCATCTAAACTCCCCCTGCACCACTTCTGCTGATTTCACTGCCCTCCTCTCCTCCTTACCCTCCATATAAACTCACCTACCCACAACCATGGTCATGCACTTGACCTCAACATCACCCATGGGTTTGACATTTCCGACCTCAGCATAGTGGACAAGGCCATCTCGGACAACTTTTTCATCTCCTTCTCCTCTCACATCCCTCTCTCCTCCACCAAGCCCTCAACCATCCTCTATCACCCTTAGAAAAGGCCTGAGATCCTCACAAAGGCCCTCTCATCATCAAACATCCTATCACTCCGGTCTTCCACCCACGGACATCCTGAAGCAGTCGTCCAGCTGCTTTATGATCGCCTCTCCTCCACTTTCAACTCTCTCATCCCCCTAAAATCCAGGACCATCTCCAAACCCACCCGATCCCCCTGGAACAACAACCATCTCCAGCGCTAAAAAACCCAAACCTGTCTGCTCGAGTGCAGATGGCAGAAAACTGGCCTGACAGTTCACCGCCACCGAGCATCTCCACAGCTACCGCCGTTCTTTGACATGCGCAAAAACGGACTTTTACTCCAACATCATCTTGGAAGCCAAAAACAATCTCAAAATCCTTTTTTACACCACCCACTACCTCCTCCATGCCCCCCCTCAGGCCTCCTCAATCTTCACATCAAAAGCCAAGTGCGACGAGGTCATGGACTTCTTTTCTGCAAATATACTTAACATCCGCCAGGCAGCCTCGTCCACCTGCCCCTTGTCACCCACCACCACGCCCTCTCTGCCCCCCTCACCTTCCTCATCATCTGCTCCTACCACCTTCCCCTTTCTACACTCCTTCCTCCCCATCTCTCCCTCCTTCCTCTCACCCACCACCACCTCCATGAAACTCACCACCTGCTGCCTCGACCACCCTCCCCACCAACTTACTGGTCACACAGCTCCCCCTCCTATGCCCACTACTGGCTGACATCATCAACCTATCATCAACAATAAATATTATTATTAACCTGTCCCTCTCCTCCGGATTAGTCCCTGCCTCCCTCAAAACTGCTGTCATCACCCCCCTCCTGAAAAAACCTTCCCTAGATCCCTCAAACCCCAGCCATTACCACCCTATTTCTAACCTACCCTTCCTCTCAAAAGCTCTAGAACTGGTTGTGGCCAACCAACTCCGCGCACACCTCTCTTCGAACCCCTGCAGTCCGGTTTCCGCCCTGCTCACAATACAGAGACTATGCTTGTGAAAGTCACAAACGACATCCTCTCCATCAGTGACGAGGGCTCCCTCTGCCTCCTTGTCCTCCTGGACCTCTCTGCCGCGTTCGACACAGTCGAGCACGCCATCCTCCTCCACCACCTTCCTCTGTCACCACCTCAGTGGGACCGCACTCGCCTAGGTGGAGCTCTACCTCACAAACCACCAGCAGTACATAAACGGCTTCTGCATAAACGGCTTCTCCTCCCGCTCTCACATGTGGGGTACCCCAAGGATCCATCCTTGGCCCACTCCTCTTTCTGATCCATATGCTCCCTCTTGGGGATGTCATCCGCAGACATGGGGTACATTTCCACATGTATGCAGATGACACCCAACTCTACTTTTCCACCTCTCTTTGCGAGCCCCCAGTCCCCTGATGTTCTGTCAGCCTGCCTGTCAGACCTCAGGGGCTGGATGAGCACAAACTTTCTTCAGCTGAACGTTGACAAGACGGAAGCCATACTCTTCGGTTCTCATCAACATCTAAAATCTCATGGTTCTCACCTCCTCCACCTACCCGACCTCCCACTAAAACTCTCCGAACCCATACGCAACCTACGCATCAGGTTCAACCCCCAATTATCCTTCCTCTCCCACATCTGGTCCCTTTCCAGCACTGCCTTTTTCCATCTCCATCGTATCGCCTGTCTCCGCCAATACCTCTCCCCAAAAGCCGCTGAAACTCTGGTGCATGTCTTTGTCACTCTAACGCCCTATTTGTCGGTCTCCCATCCACTACCATCCATAAAATCCAACCCATTCAGAACTCTGCTGCCGGACGAAACTCCACTCCCCGATCAGCCCAGTCCTTGCCAGACTGCACTGGCTGCCTATCCCAGAGAGGATCGATTTCAAGATCCTCACCCTTGTATTCAAGTCCCTGCACTCCTCTGCACACCCCTACCTCTCTGACCTCCTCTCTCCTCAAAACAGTACCCGTTGCCTTCGTTCCTCCAGGTTTGGCCTCCTCCTTGTTCCCTGAGTCCTCTGCTCCACCCTCGGCAGCCGTGCCTTCATCCACTATGCCCCGAGGCTCTGGAACTGCCTTAGTCACTCCCTTCGTCTCGCTCCCTCCCTTCCCATTTTCAGGTCTCTGCTGAAGACCTTTCTTTTTGACCACACCTTTGGTCACGTTCCACCCCCTCCCCCTGGCTCGGTCCCGGGATCCATTATTGTAAAGTGCTCTGAGAGGGCGCTATATAAATCCAAGTTGTTGTTGTTATTGTTGTAGCCCTCCATCTTAGCAGCTAGCTTCCCTTTTTATCCTAAATTTATGATCGCACAAAAAACGTCCTGATTCACTGATGGATAAAGGTTACAATTAACAGATTTTTGCATCCTAATTATTTTACAGATTCCAATTTCTGGAGTATCACAAATTGCAACGAAAATCTACCCTTTATTTGTGGTTACAAAATCGATGAATGATTTTGATGAAGGAATTGAATTCTCTGTATTCATTTGCTTCATAGCTGCAGTCACTGTGAGTATGGTGATTGTATTGAGTTATACACCAGCAAAGAATAAAAATGCTTGCTTGCAAATTTGTTTGTTTTGTGTTTGATATTTTCGACCTGATCTCAATCTTTCACTTACTAATCTTTCTGCAATCTTATTCTGTATCTCTGATATCAAGAAATTGTGAAAGTGTAAAAGGCGATATCCCCAGAATTAAATGTTAAAACTCCCAATATCTGGCTCACATTAACACGTAAAGTGTGTCAGAATTGTGTTTAGTGTAGGAGTAGAAAACGTACAGAAACACTTAGCCCAGGTAGACAAGAAATTTCCTACAACTGGGACCTGTCTACTAATGATGAGGTTCCTTTGGATATTTCACCAGCAATAAACAACACACTCCTACATCCAAAATTGGCCTTTTGGAGAAAAGGAGAATAAATTCAGTGTCTCAATTCTGCTCACTCTAATTCCTGCTGCTTGATCTCCTTATTAAATGCTGCTCAAAGTGACTGATTTCTGGCTGCAAGGTCTGTGGAGTTGGTTCTTCTTCATAATAATAATCCTTGCATTTAATATAACACCTTATCACATCATTGAGAGGTGTACACGTGTTTCACAGTATATACTGTAAAGATGAATGTGTATTTTGTGGGTGAAAACTTTAAGAGCAAGTTGGTATTGATGAATGATGGTTCTCTGAAAATAAAGACTATGATACTATCCCCAACAAATAGAAACTTTCTACCAGACTGGATCATCTGGGAAACTTACACGTGCAATAAACACTGTCACTCCAAGTAGCCAGTTCCAAAGTTCATACATAATAAAAAATACTGTTACGCTAAACCTTGAATTGATTCTTGGCCAAATAGCTATTTAATTCCCTTTTGCTGATGACATCTTTGGCTGGTGTGTTCCATACAGGTACAAGGGTGGCTCAGGAGTTAGCTCTTGTGTAATAATAATAATCCTTGCAATTGATATAGTACCTTATTGTATCATTGAAATATCTCGAAGCGCTTCACAGATTATATTGTAAAGTGATTAACTAAATTTTGTGGGTGAAATGCGGCAGCCTATTTGTGGACAGTAATGTCCCACAAACATGGATTGAAAGACCAGATTTTTTTTTGAGAGGTTATTACCCCTGGAAAGTGATCTGCTAATCAACAAAGAACCAGGTTCTAACTTACTGCTAGGTAAACAGGCGATGTGGAGTAAGGAATGTTGCCTAAGGTTTCACCATGCCCAGGAATTGAACCCAGGTGCTCTTGCCTGCGAGGCGAGTATGCTAACCACAAATAACTCTTTTGGCTCTTGGTTCAAAGGATATAGGTTCAAGTTCAACATTGGAACTTTGCCTGCGTCTCACCTTAGTCTGGGGAGCTCTGCCTTGCTTGGAGTTCCGTCCTTCTATGAGTTGCTCCCAGATGAACAGTACAACAACAACAAATTACATTTGTATAGCGCCTTTCATGTTGGGATGACTTTCTAACGTGCTGGACAGTCAGGGATTTAAACCCAATTGGGGTTGGGATCAGGAGGGGTGGAAGGCAGGGAGGGTAGGGGTAGAAGAGTGCCCGAAGGCTCGGTCGAAGAGGAAGGTCTTGAGATGAGCCTTGAAGCAGGCAAGCGAGGAAGTGAGGTAAAGGGACTCGGATGGAGTTCCAAAGGGCGGGGCCAGAGAGTCTGAAGGCTTGAACATGGATGGTGGGATGGGCAGGCGGGGAACATGGAGCAAGTCGGAACCTGCTGAGCGGAGGGTGCAGACAGGTCAACAGGTCGATATGGCATTAGTTGACACAAAGGTAGGCAGGAGCAAGGCCATGGAGGACCTTGAAGGCAAGAGCAAGGATATTGAACTCTATCCCCTGGGGAATAGGGATCCAGTGGAGTTGGGTGAGAGTTTGGGTGAGGTAAGGTCACGCGCGAGATCTGGTGTGAGAGAGGACACAAGCTGCAGAGTTCTGGATGATTTGCAGCTTGTGGAGGGAAGAGTTGGGAAGGCTGACAGACAGGGAGTTGACGTAGTCGAACCTAGATGTAACAAATGTATGGGGAATTGTCTCAGTGGCCTGAGGGGAGAGGCTGTGGTGGAGTCAGATGATATTGTAGCAGTGGGGGAAGGCAGAACAGGTCAAGGTATGGATGTGGGGTAGAAAGCATAGTTGAGGGTTAAACAATACCCCAAGGTTCCGGACTGACTCTGTGAAGTGAGTCAAATTCTGGCCCCCAAAAATGTTCTTTCCAAATGCGAATATATTGACAGAAATGGATATAACATGGCACCTAAAACAAGCTGTGCAGCTTAAGCAACTGGGCAGATACAAATCTCTGAAGGTGTGAAGATAGGAGGACTTTCCTTCTTGGTGAGGGGAGGTAAGCAGAGTTTCCCTAGAGCACAACTGGAACTGTAGTCTGGTTCCTGAGCCAGGTGGGTTCGCTTTACTCCTGGGCAGTGCCGATGACAACCCAGCCAGCCTGTCTCATCGGTTGGACTTGGAAGGATAGACTGAGGACAGAGGTTCTTCCCACTCGGCTCCCACTAACCCTGCAAGCCAAAGCCCATACGGATAAGATGGTTCTTGCTGAATAAACAGTGAGAAAGCTTCCCAGACATTGCTTTCAATGGTAATCTATGTAGTTTTAGCTGGTTGCACTTCAGCAGTTATCCCAATGCACACCCTGGGATCCCCAAACCTTGGTTCTTAGCAATCTGTGCTTAATACTTTCTGGAATTAGATAAGCAGGATACATTCTAGGGAGAAAGAGCATATTCCATTGCAATAAAAATCTTGGGAATTTCCATGTAAAGGTGGAATGCATGTATCTTCCATTTTGGATTTTGGATACTCTTTACCATTGTGATGGGTTTCTGGCCGACCAAATAAGGTTAGTCGCAAAGCCTAAAAGATAGAAATTTCACCTGCTCCATATTTACTCGATTTACTTTGCATTTCAGATCTTCCAGAATCTTGTAACTTGTTGAATTCAGTCTTAACTTTTAAATTGGTTTTCTGTAGTTGTCACATTTTTTTAATGGAGTGCCTTATCTTTATCAAATGCCCTTGGTCAGCCCTTTCTTGGTTTCCATACATTTCAGCTGCACTTGGTTTCATTCCTTCCATGAGTTTCTTATACTTATCTGAAATTCTGGCTTGCCGGACAGATCTCTCCCCGCCATTAGTCCAGCTAGCCAGGGTTTAAGTTTTTCTACACAGGTTTTTAAAAAACTCACAGAAAATCGGCCTCAAAATCAAAGCAATTTTCTTCCAAATTGTCAAATTCAAGACCCACAGAAATGCTAAGCCAATAAATCCACCATCACCACCCCCCCGGCTCAGAGTCAGGATCTGCCACTGTTAAGCACTTTGGACTTCCAGGTTTCATTTGGTTACGCAATCAAAGGAAGGATAGCTTTAGAATTAGATATAAACCTTGTTTCTTGACTCTAAACCTTTCTGGACATTATGGGATTAGAACAATCCAAGAGTGACATTAACCAGTCAGGTCAATGTGTTAATGATTCTCTCCTTTTTTATGGATGCACTTATCAATGAATTCTAGACTGAATGAAACACTCTGTTCTGACAATATGTTCACAAGCTTTCAAAACTAGAGAATAGTTAACATATTTCGGGTGGTTAAATAAGAAACAGTTACACTGTATGTCTACTCAGGGACTCTTAATAACTGATTGACCAGCAATGACAAAATCATGACTGTGCCCAATTTCTGTCATTACAAAGAGCTGCAGATCTGTATATATATTCGTGTGTGTGTGTGTGTGTTTATGGTGTCAACACCTGAAACATCATCACACTGGAAGAGAGGTAGGGAACATCAGGAATTTCTGTTGAAATGTAAAAAGCTTCTTTGTTTTTGTTATTGTTTTTATATCACATACAGGAAAGGATCTTCGCTTGCATATACTTTTTGGGGGATCAAACCAATTGTGTGTCACACACAGAAATCCAAATTAAATGATCCAAATTAAACTACCGTGAGTTCCATAAATACATGGTAATTTAATAATCCTTGCATTTAATATTGCACTTTATCATGTGATCAAGACGCCTCAAATTGCTTCACAGGATTTTACTGTGAAGTATCATGACTGTGTATCTGTAGGAGATCATCAAAATTGAGGCAACCCTAGGTGATGGTCTCAAGTCACTCTAGTTCAGTTCCTGAGCAAGACGGGTCTGCAGTACTTCAAGATACTGCTGATGGCAAACTTGCCAGCTTGGCTTATTAGCAGGTATGGGAGAGGCAGACCAGTCACTAGGAGCAGAGTACCACTCAGCTACCATTAATCCTGAAAGCCAAAGCCCTAAAGGATAGGGTGGTCCCAGCTGGTCAAGCATCAGGAAGCTAGACAGTGCTTTCAATGACAAGGTTATACGGATGTAGCATGGAATTGCAGCTTGCCACACAGTGTTCTTAATGACAGGCTATGCCATGTTTTAGATGGGTAAACCCCAGCACATCCAAGGTTCCCAAGCCTTATCTCTTGCCTGTCTGTGCTGAAAACTCTCCAGAATTACGTAAGCATGATGAGTCCTTCTAGGGAAAGAATGAGCATTCCATTTTAATACTTTGGAGTTTACATGTGTAGCTGGGATGCATGGAACTCTCAGTTTTGGGTACCTTTAAGCAAGGTGATGGACACCTGGTAGACCCAAAGAAAAGGACTACCATATTCTTTATGTTTTGGCTTTTAATATTAACAGAAAATGGGAATTAATTGTAGTTAACAAGAATCCAAAAATTATAAATCCATGCATGCTTTTAATGTGTGAAGTGACTTTGGCATAAATGTTACTGTTTTTTTCAGGTCCAAGAAAGGATCTTCACTCTGCAGAGATGATGCTGGGGATGGCTCCGTTGCTCAGTGCATTGCTCTTCTGCGATGCTGCAGGTACTTTTCACTGTACAAGTGGCAGCATGATATTGCTCTATGAATAATAATAATAATAATAATGCTTACATTTGGAATAGCAGCTTTCACTTTTGGAGGCCATCCCAAAGCACCTCACTGGGCAAAAACAAGAGACAATTTTTGCATAGGAATGTTCCATAAACAGCCATGGAGTGAGTAACCAGTTTTATTTTGGGGATTGTTGGCAGGACACTGGAAGAAACCCCCTTCTTTTCGAATAGTGCCATAGGATCTTTAACGTCCACTTTAACAGGCAGATAGTACCTTTGTTTAATGCATCTTCTGAAGGTTGGCACCTGGACAATGCAGTGCATTCAACACTGCATTGAAGTGTCATCTCAGATTATAAGATTTCCAAGTCTCAACATGGACTGTTCTGGTAGAAAGGTTCATGTGGGTAATGAGGGTCGAATTTCTGGAGGATATAGAAAGATAGGAATTTTGTGATAATTTCAGAATCTCAGACATTAAAGATCTCTTGACATTATTCAACAACATTGCATTTATATGGTGTCCTTTTCACATGGGTAGCTTAACAATAGTGTGGTTTGATGCAAAGCTGGGCAGGGAAGTGACCGAAGGCATGATCGAAGAGGAAAGTCTTCAGGTGTCATTTGAAGGCAAAGAGGGGGCAAGACAAAAGGGTTGAAGCAAGATTTTGTAGGGATTTGGGGCCTTGCTGTTGAAAAAAGCAAATATGTATTCTTATAAATACTGCTAAAAGGTGATACTATAAGCAGCATTGAGAAACAGCTGAATATTAAAGCTATGGAGGAGGCGGATGGGATGTAAGTGACTTGTAAGAATATAAATGCAATTTGTCGTTGTTTTTGGCTTTTCAATTTTAAAAAATTCAGGTAAATGCTGATACCAGAATTGTAATTGTTTCAATCCCGTGAGCAGAAGATAGTGAATAAGCTTCTGGGATTAAAAATGAGTCAAAGTCGATATCCCTGGCCACTGAAGGCCAGCAAGCACCGTGATGCATTGGCGCACATTAGAAGAGTGGGGCCAGTTGGGGCCAGTGACAATCAAGAAGCACATGGGCCAGCAGTTGAATTCCAGAAGCTGGGATATGGTAAGCTGGGAGATGACTGTAATCAGGTATAGGGGGTGCGGTGTCAAAATTTGCAGTTCAACATCACCTCCTGATTTGGCATGGAAAATAGTGAAGGGGAATTGCAGTAGAATGCAGGAAGACATAACTAGGCTAACAAAATGGGAAGACAGATTAATGAAGTTTAATGTAGGAAAATGCAAAATAATTCCCTTCAGCAGGTAAAATAAAGAAACCGTCTATAGTCTAGATGGTAGGAAACTACAAGGAGTGGAGGAGCAAATAGATTTGTGGATTCAGATCAACAACTTGCATTTATATAGCACTCCTCGTGCAGGGAAACATCCCAGAGCACTTGACAGTGGCGGAATACAATGCCGAGCCCAGGGGAGGTACCATAGTGCGACGATTCTCACTCCTTGCTGTACTTGTGAATTTTAGTAAAGCTTTCATGCTAAGTAGCCTCTGCTCTTTCCTAATCCTGTCAGTGTGAGTCCCTGCTCAAAGGTGTCCCAACCAAGTCAGAATTAGTCACTCAGACAGGTATTCCCAGATAACTCCAATGCCTGACAACTGGCATGTCTAATTGGAGTCTGCTCACACTGCCAGAACACCGATGTCGACAGCCACTCCCTAAATGCTTACTCCTTTTCTTGTTTTAGAATATTACAGACTCGAGGATACATACATTAAAAGCAACAGCTCTTTATTAAGACCTAGCAATCCTAGGCTACCTTCCATATAAGAAATACAACAATGTAAGATAAACAACAATGGGATCAAATATAACTAACAAACAATTATAACAACTAACAGCACAATATTACATTTGTATAAAGTAATTAAACCAATCCGATAGCATAGTCCTGTACACGTCAGTACGTACCAGATGACGACCATTAGACAGCGACCACTAGGTGCAACAACCATTGCTTTTTATAGGTGTGTGGCTCTGCCCACCATATGAAGCAAATGCGAGGTTTTTCCTATGCGAGTTCCCACATGACTTTCCAGGCTGCTTGTTAACTGCCTTGAGCCCAGATATAGTTGCAACTTGGACACCTCATGTATGCTGTTTGCTAGGTCTTTTGCAAGTCTTTGCAAACTGTTTGTTTGGGCAGGTTTCAACTCCAAACACCTGATAATAATCGCTCAAGAAAAAAATAATAAAATTGGTTACTTCAATTCACGACTGTTTATGGGACAAAGCTGTTCGTAATTGGCTGCTGCATTTTGCCCACAAATATACAGTCAATTCACTTTACAGTATATTCTGTGAAGCGCTTTGAAACGTCTAGAAGACGTGAAAAGCGCTATATCAAATGCTGAAAGTGCGGCCACCGATGGTGGAACGGAGGGCACGAGGGTCATGCAGCAGGCTGGAGCCAGTCGAGCAGAGGCACCAGGTAGTGGGTTGGGCAGTAAGCTGGTCAGAGAGGTAGGGAGGTGAAGACGAGTGTGAGAATCTTGAAATTTGTTTGTTCAGTCATAGGGAGCCAGTGGAGCCTGGCTGGAACTGATGTAATGGGGGGCTTATTCTTCTAACAGAGACCATAGATACAGTAAAATCAATATTACCCGATTCCCTGGGAAGAATCGTTCACCCTATACGTCGACTTCAACTATTCTAAAGTTACTTCTTCCGTTTAAATGTTTTAAACTTCTCTTCCCCTTCCCTGGTCTGATTCAAAAGTCTCTCTGCCTATGTCTCTGGGTTTCCTCTTATCATCCTTAAGGAAGCAATCACTCAAACCCCAACTGAGAGTGTGTCTTCCCTGACAACCAAACGTAAACAATCAGGCAATAAAATATTACTAGAGACTGACCTCATCCAGATCAAGTCAATATATTTTTATCTTTGACACCCAGGAATGAGGAGAAGACAAGTTAGGAATGAGATAACTTTAGGAATAATTTAGGAATAACACAACCCTCTCAGGGGCCCTAAACTAGTCATTAAAACAAACAACCATGCCCTAGTAACTAAGGAATGCTATACTAAAAACAATATAAGTGTTTGGTTACATTCTAAAAAGTGTATAAAACTAATTACAAGCCTTAAAAACATCAAGCATCACAAATATAATCTTATGGTTTAGTATGGGTAAATATGCGAGCGGCAGAGTTTTGGATTAGCTGAATTTTGTGGCTTGTGGGGCTTGGAAGACTGGCGATGAGGGCATTTGAATAGTCAAGGTGGGAGGTGACGAATGCAGGGATGAATGTTTCAGCTGCTTCTGGGGTAGTAAGGTACGGACGGAGGCAGACAATGTGGCGGAGGCAGAAGAAAGCGGTCCTGGTCAGGGACCATTGTGGGGAAGGAACAGCAGTGGGTCGAACCTGATGCCTAGATTGAGGCATGTAGATGAGGAAGAGAAGGGGGCCAAGGATGGAGCCCTGGGACATGCCATAGGTAAGCGGGTGGGGGCGGGAGGAAAAAATGTAAGATTAAAAAGTGAAGGCGGTTTGTTTGGTAGGACTCGAACCGGGCAAGTGCAGTCTACTAAGGTGGATGAGGGAGGAGGGGCAGTGGATGAAGATGGCGTGGTCGACTGTGCCGAACGCAGCAGAGAGGTCCAAGAGGACGAGGAGCAGAGAGAGCCTTGCACACAGAGATATAGGATGTTGTTAACAAGCGCTATCTCTGTGTGCTGTGGTCAGGGCAAAAACTAGGCTAGAGGGGTTCAAGGAGAGAGTGGAGGGAGAGATGGGAGCAAAGCTGGTTAGCAACAATGTGTTCCAGAGCTTTGGCAAGGAAGGGCAAGTTAGAAATAGGAAGGAAATTTGTAAAGTTTGAGGGGTCAAGGTTGGTTTTTTTGAGGAGGGGAGTGATGACAGCAGTTTTAAAGGGGAGAGGAATAGAACCTGAGGGGAGCAACTGGTTGATATTAGAGCACTCGCCTCGCAAGTGAGAGGACCTGGGTTCAATTCCTGAGCAGGGGGAAACCTAAGGCATCTTTCCTTACTCTACACCTCTGGTTACCTAGCAGTAAGTAGGAACCTGGTTGTTTGTTAATGGGCAGATTGCTTTCCAGGGCTAATAATCCCCTCTAAAACATTTTTAAATGATAATAATTATTTGGTTACACAATCCACAACTGTTTGTGGGACACTGCTGTGTGCAATTGAGTGCCATGTTTTGCCCAAAAAATATGCCCAGTAAATTCACTTTACGGTACATCCTGTGAAGTGCTTTGAAGACATGATAAAGCGCTATATCAAATGCAAGGATTATTATATTTATTATTATAATTACAGTGTAGATTTTTGCGGATGATACCAGGGTTGGCAGGAAACTGCTATCAGAATAGACTGGATAACTTTGGCCTTTTTTCAATAGAGAAGAGATGTTTAAGGGCAGAACCAAATAAAAGTGTTTAAAATTATACAAGGGTTTAATAAGGTTCACATAATTATGCTGCAAAAAAACAGATCAAATAGGATATTGAGCTATATTACTAAATCAGTTGAGTTTAGATCCTCAGACATCATTCTCAGGCTGTACAGAGCTCTGGTCAGACCACACCTTGAATACTGCATATAGTTCAGGTCACCGCACATTAAAGAGTTGGCTAGGCCCTGGCTATAGAGTAGAGGAGAGCAACGAGGATGGCAGAACAAGAGGACATTGATTTCGAGTTGTAAAGGGCAATTTAGGAACAAAAACCAGGAAGTTTTTTCTTTACACTCAGGTTATCAGCACATTTTTTTGGTCAGCTGGATGTCCGTCACATGTGGAAATCCGTCACCATGCTTAAGAGTATCCAAACCAAAAATTCCACCCATCCCACCCACACATGAAAATGAGGCAGTCCAGCTCCAAACAGACACCATTTACCTGCCTCCAAGGATATCACTAGCTAATCTTTTATCCAACAAGTGTGGGTTTGAGTACTTACTAGGTAGATGGCAGGTAAGAATA